TTGGGGCTTTGCAATTTCGAGACATCGGACTGGCAAGTGGAACAGAGGATGGAGCTATAAGGATGTGGGATTGTATCTTTATGTGGTTTATTTTTATGTTCCCCGTTTCTTTTTATTACCATTATCATATTTTTGCTGTCAATCTTTAACTTTTGATGCGTCATAAAAAGTGAGGACAGGGCAGGCTCATCGCACCTTACTTGGTCACACAGGTATTAAACAACTGACTTTCGGATGCCTGGTATAGACTTATCGATGAATTATCATATCCATTTTTTCTTTTATAATAGGTCCTATAACGTGCCTTCAGTTTGACGATTTGCACATCGTTAGCGGAAGCATTGACAAAAGTATAAAGGTATTTATCTTGGGGATTGATTATTTAACTACCATAAACTAACTTCATTAATTTCAATGCAGATCTGGGATTTAAGAACAGGATCGGTAATAGACACGTTCTCATATGATCACAGCGTCACGAGCTTACAGTTTGATTCCCACAAGATAATTTGTAGTGCTGGAAGCAACGATATCAAGGTTTGATTCTACTTCAACGGACTGATTTTATTTCAAATGTTTCATTTTTTGAAATTTTCTATTGATCGGTTTTAGATATACAACCGAACTTCCTTCCAACATTCAAACTTCGAAGGGCATAGTCGCCCTGTACAGTGTGCAAAGTACAAAGATTCGATTTTGTCTTCAGGAGGTCTAGATAATCTTGTGAAGATATGGGCTTTATAATATTAACCAATCAATATTACTATTCTTAACTAAGACCGGGGGCTATAATGCAGATTATCAGTAAAATTAGAAAAAAAATTATGAATAAATTTAACTGCAAAACTTCGAATAGAAGATAATTTAATTGAACATAAATCTCTGCTTATCTACTCTTTCCGCATGAATTCCTGTAAATTACGAAAAGCTACCATGCTGAAAAATTTGCATTTCTAAAAATTAACGAATCAAATCTGTCAGTGAAAATATTCTTGATAATACAGAGTTTAATGTATGTATCGCCTAATAACCGTTACATAAAAAATGATATCTTTGAGATTATCGACTCTTTCTAATAATACCGAGGACAATGAATAATTGCAATTATATATACAAACTGTCTCCAAGAATGAATATCTCTGTACTGGAATTTACGATGTGCTCGGTTTACGGTAACAATAGCTCTAAACAGCGTTACATAAACCTCTTTGCCAACAATTTTATGTTTTAAACATTAATTTTTTACAGAATATTTTAATAATTAATTAATTATATTAAATAAATGTTGCTGGTTCAAATGGTACCATTCAAATACAGTATATTCAAAATAATATATATGGACATATTTAAAATAATGTATATAAGTATATATAAAATAATACATATAGATGTATTTAAAATAATACACATAGGTATACTTGAAATAATGCATAGAAATATATTTAAAATAATATATAGGTCAATTAAATAATATACAAGCAAGTGTTATTTTATACTTGTATGATATATCAAACCTCTTAAAGATAATTAATTAAGGTTAATTAATTAATTAATTATATCAAATATAAAAAAAAAAGTAAACAAAATATATTTTTCTATATATTTTCAATTATATAACATCAAAACCAATAATATAATTGAGATTGTAATTTTCAAAAAAGATGTTATAGCATAATAATTGTCTAGCTGGTATTATAATAATTGCCAAGAGTTATAAGATATATGAGATATTCACTTTTAACAAGTAGATTTGATAATAACTTCCCTAATATCTGATATCTTTCATATAGATCTTTTTCTTAGTCTCATTTCAATCTAGTAATAAATCAGTCTTGTAATATTTATTTTAAGAAAGCATCTAACAATAAGATTTGCTTTGTGCAAAGTTACATAAGTTATTGTTTAGACAATAAAAATTAGTTATAAGTCTATCTTAAACATTCTTGAATACAAGTAAAAATTAAATAGTTAGTTCAACTGCAAATAGTAATAAAGGAATTTATCCTCAAAAAAGCAAGTAAAAATTATATAGCTTTATTTGCTATAGATATTACTTTTAGTATATTCTTTTATTTTCTTTTAATTCTTTATTAATAAAAATAAAGCTTAATTATTGGTAAAAATATATATTATTAATTAAATAAAGAAATTTCTTTATTTAATAGATTAACATTTATACTTAATATAAATTAGAAACAAGCTATAATAAATATTGTTATTTGAAATTAAGGATTCTAATAATTTTCTTCAATTCTGTATTCAATTCTCAATTTTATATTAAATTTAATAGATAATATATACTTAAAGATCCTAATGATTCAATTCAATATAATTCTCGATTCTTAGTTTATAATAAATTTAATATGTGGATTATAACCCATCATCATTTCTAATAGTATTTTAAATCTTATGTGAGTCTATATAAGTCTGTTTAATTTCAATTTTTAGAACTATAAATATATCTTATTATCATTTTTAATAGTGTTCCAAATCTTATACAATTCCCTATAATTCTGTTCAATTCCAATTTTCAGAACCATATTTGAAATAATTCTAATAATAGTTAAATATAATTATTAATTAATATGTTATAGTATTGTGAAACCTGTGGGTTTATAGCACAGTGATTAGTGCTCCACAGGTCAGATCACAAGATAATAGTTCAAATCCTCCAGAGGGTTAACGTGGAAACCTCAAACCAGAAGAAAAGGATCGGCATCTTCTGATCGCCATTACAAGATACCAAGTTTGGTTCCAGGTAAAGGTAACCAGACCGTCTCAAGATAATATCTGGCGCCATAACCTAATATACGCTGTTTTCTATAAGAAGCCAATTCACATGTTGATTCAATGGGTGTTAGGATTGTGATACTAAGAAAAGTGTAGTGGGGTGATGATCGTCTAGTAGTGTTATGATGATCATTGTCAAGTTTGGTACTTTCTCCATTTCTCATGCATGGCACTAGTCGAAATGGATTTATTCGGCATAATGCCACTCGTCAATTATTCGTCAAAAAAGTATATAATTCGGCTAATCAAAATTATATAACTT